ATACTCAGGAAAGCGCATCTTCTCGCTTACACGGTTCATTGCATGACTGCTTCGCGCTTGCATTCGGCGAGTTACGTTGTTCACGCTCTTGTGAATGCCGCACGGGACACGATTAATGCATTCGCCTGTACAATGTGACTTGGCGACTCGAAAATGCATTCAAGACAAAAGTGAGAGAGACATTCATCATGATGAATTCTGTAATATGCATTTCACTAAGCGTGTTACGCTACCGATGCGTTACGTTTACATTGTTACATCGTAGCTAGAAAAATCGCTGTATGATTCTCATGATTACATGTAACATTCATTTCTCGAGCGTTTTTTCTATCGAGCCAATTTGTAAGTGTTCAAATTTTTGTTTTGTTTACATCGCGATTTCAATGTACTTTGTGCAATACTCAGCGGTAACTTGCTTAAATTAAGGCTGCATTCAGATCTGATATCGTCTTTCTAACGCGAGATGGTTCATAGACAATGAATTCTATCATTTTCAGCATCGACACAAAGTTGTTTTAATGGTTAACACTGATGTACTATTAATAAGTGACATAGGAGCTTATTTCATAAGGGAGCTTATTTCAGATAACGCCAGATAGTCGTTGTGCACACTTTCTGCATATGTTACTTCCATTGAGATAAGTAAGTTAGAGCATAATGAATTTGTGATTAGAGACGAATGTCACCTTGTAAATGAATCTTTGAGAAATTTATTTGCTCGTACTAGTTAGGTGTAAATGAAATGGTCGAACCGTTTTGATTTCTTAAAACGCCTTTAATTGTTAGGGTAACGCATATGTAAGCAGTTTTTACTTCTACCTTTTTTTTTTTCCTTTTGTAATTAATAATTACAAATAAGTATTGTTCTCCTATAAATAAGTGGATGTACGTGCACTGTTGAAACTTACGATACTGATAATTATTAACGGTAATTCTCATTCACTTATAGTGTATGCAATGCCATATCTGTATTACGAAATCACGAATGAGCGCACATTTTTGTTTTTCGAACATGATATTATTAATTTGACATTTATCTGTCGCTGCGTTAGCATAACTCATGTATATGAGACAAGAAACGTCCAGTGCCAAAGTCGAAATATCGTTGCTCTTGTTTTAAACAAGTCTGACAATAATCTGGTATAAATTATTTGTTTAATGCATTTAGGTGTCTCTTTGTCAAGAATAAATGTAAAACTGATATATATAAAACCTTCTAGTTTGTAATAAACAAGTATTATTCTAACAGCTGTGTTCTTTCGCCATTGATAAGTCAAGTTATGCCGAGAGAATCGTATAAAATATCACAAGCATGAAGAAAAATCATGCTGTTCCAATAGTTGCGTGATTAGTGGACCGTTATTTTTAAATTTCATTACAACGCAAAACATGCATACAATATATTTATTTATATAAAGACGAATCTATTACGTTATCAGGTACATTATCCGAATATTCCAGGATAACTCGCTCCCCGTCAAAAACAGCCGTATCTTCGAACAATTTGGCTAAAGGTGTATCCATCGTGCTGCATATCAGATCTCCGGTGGAATGGCGGAAGAGCTTTAACTTATTCGCGGTGGCTGTGTTATTGTTGTTGGGTACCTTAAGCGTGTCCGCTATCGAGTCTATACACTTGCCGATCGTCCAGTGCATGTTGACGAAGGCGCCCTTCGACGTGCCTATGTGTTTGTTCTTAACTGTGAGCGGCAAATGTACGAGGAAGTAACTCCTCTCGCTCGTCGGTACGTTCTTGGGGCCGATCGCGGAACATTTCACACGCATAAGTTGTACCTGCGAAGCAGAAGAAGACGCGAATCTGTATTAGTTGCACTGACTAACTACGCTGAAATCATTTTTTTTATCTCATTTTATTTTATTTATTTTAAGTAACGTGTAGTAGTACCTTATTTGCCAATGTCGTGTTCTTGGATTTCTTCAGACTGTCCGCGATTTGTTGATCTACTATGGCCTTTGCCTCCGCAAACTGTTTCTTTGGTATCTGCCACTTCTTCAGCTTCTGCGTCCTCTCCGTTTCGCTCAACTCCAAGCATCCGTGATGCCTGTGCGCTACGCAAAAGTGCTGCTTACAGCTGGCACAAGGCATCTCGATCGGGGATGCGTCCTCGCAAGATTCCTTAGAGCACAGAAAGCTTGTTGCCGATTGTTCCACGACAGATTTCGTGTTCTCCGTTTTCGAACACTCATGCGAGTCCGTATTGAAATGCTCTTTACAGAAAGTGACCTGACAATGCTCGCACACGAACGGCAAGAAGTCCAACAATTTGCAGTCCTTCACCGAGCAGCGTTTGCCGGTCTCCGGAAATTCCATTGCGACAAGAGGATATCAAGGCAGCGACAAAGAGGATATCAAGGATTACAAATGGCTTTATTGACGTCTTCCGGCTGATTTTGGGGAGACTGAAAACGACGTTCAGTTGTGCAGCGGCGTCGGAGAGTGCAGATGATTGTCGCTGAGAGAGCTCAGCGCCAGATTATTCCACTTCTGCTCCAGCTCCTTCAACGTCATGTGAGAGTCGCCGTTGTCGCTCTCGGGATCCGGCAGCTCGGCCACCGGCGTCGAGATGTCGTCAATGGGCAGACGTTCCTTGCGCCAGCCCTCGTCGATCACGTCTATCAGCCTGCCGTCCCCGCACACCTGACTGTCCATCCCGTAAACGACGGTCAACACACTTAGGCTTGGGAAAACATCATTGTACTTACAATACTATTTCGAGAGAATTAACAAATCTTAAGTTGACTGAATATCGCATAGAGATCCCTACGTGGGGATCAAGTACAAATTCATTTTCATTTAGATTAAGAAGCGAATAAAACATCTGTGCCTCTCAGAGGCCAATTAACTGACTCGACTCCACTTTTTGTAAAATTTTCAAATGGAAATAGAAATGACTGTTGATTTATATTTTCTAACAATTACCATGTGATTCAGACAATTTCTCTACTCACCACCGAGCGAAAAGTTCGAAAACTCGTGAATCTGATCGTGGATACCTCGAGCCACAGTATAACCAGTAGGTCCACTTCGTGTCGGCACCTTTGATCTCCTTTTCCGGATCACGTGAGCATCCATCATGTTAAATCCAGGACCGAATTGAGAAAAGTGCCTCACAAGTAATAAAACAGATAAGTAATATGGATTCGATACAGTAAATCAATAAATTCAATGTGTAATAATCAATAAATTCAATCGAATAAAACGTTTTATTAGTAACAATTATTCGTAGGAGTGATCACTAAAGAAAATTTCTGATGTAATTGCTTATAAATTGTCTGACATATGTATGTACGTTCCTATCGTCTTGCATTTCATTGGATCCAACCCAAAACAAAAGTTGCGCGGCGATACCTGCGCGAAGACTCAGTTTTTCACTGAGTGGACCTACTGGTTATACTGTGCCTCGAGCTCGAGAACACTCGAGAATCTCGAGATCAGCTGGTCCAGCGACAATGCCAAGATCGGCAAAATTCGCAAAAATCGCAAAATCACGAGCACGAAATAACAAAGTGATAACAGATGAGAGATGATCGTCACCGTCTCATAGGACCATGAAAACGCGCAAGCGCAATACAAAGATCGGACCTGTGAACGCGGAATACTAATGTTGTTTTCATCATCATAGACGCTGTATGTCTATGACCGGGATAATCGGCGGGAAGGCGGGGGGAAGGGGGTTGTTGCGTGCGCGGGGAGGAGTTGCGTCGTCGCGTGTCGCGTGCGGGAGGAGTGAAGGAATTCGGCGTATTCCCACGAATCCCACGAGATCGGAGTAATTCAGTCGAGGAGGTAACCGCGCCAACCGTGGAATATCTTGGCGATTGTTTTCGCACGACGCGGATCCGCCTCGCGCGGATATAACATCGTAATGGCGACGCCGACCAACAGCAGCGGTAACCTCGTCGACGAGTTCGAGGAATCGTTTCAGGTAGAACGCATAATTTTACATAGTCTCGTGTTAGCGTTAATTTATCGTACCGCTTAATTGTTAATATTCATAATCGAGGAGCCTTTCCGACGTGGCATTTCCTCGCAAAAGTGACACGTAAAACTCAAAGTAGAATTGTCGCAATAAATTGGCCCACATTGTTGACGTACGCTGACGTTGTTATTGGTATTCTAGAACAATTTTTAAATAGAAATTTTTATTTATCCTTTTGTTTGAGAGTATATGTGATTGAATGTAATTGGAGGGTTTATCAATATTTTTCTTTAGGAAGTAATCGACAGTTTAAGGTATACAGACGAAATTTAACTATGTGATGCGACAAGAAATGAAAAATACTAGAAAAATAATTCTACGTAATAATAAATGTTTGTAGAAATAGTATAAGTCTTGATCTTTCGAATGGAGCATGTAAATTTGCTCAACTTTCTATAACTTGTTTAAGAACATGTAACTACCATGCTTGAAAGGATTTTTAAAAGAAACATTTATAAGAGTTAAATATAACAAAAATATAAAAATATATCTTGTGTGTGTATTTATTTTAGTTTTTTAGTATTATTTGATTCTAAATTTGCTTCCAAATATCTAAAAGATCATATCAACGTTGCTGAAATGTTGTAGAATGTCAATACAGGTTATTAAATCTCGATTGTCTCTTTCCAGCAATGTTTGAGTATTTTGACTAAGGACGAGGGATTGGGCAACAGCGGTACTGGTGCGTCTGGTGGTATGACAGTGGATAAAGACGAAGGTCGCGCGGAAATGGAACAAGCCACCATGAGGTTTATAGACCTGGCCAGGCAGATGGAGGCTTTCTTCCTGCAAAAGAGATTTCTTCTGTCTGCGCTGAAGCCCGAGCTGTTGGTCAAGGAAGAAATCAACGAGCTGAAATTGGAGTTGGGGCGGAAGGAGGACCTGATAAAAAGACATAACGACAAGATCGCCGTCTGGCAGAATATGTTGTCGGATTTGCAGGGATGGGCGCAGTCCCCTGCTCAAGGGCCAGCACCCAGTGGTAAGATAAGTAATGATAATAATAACAATTATCTAATCATAATAATCAAATAACTCAATAACATTGACATTAATAGGCTTACCCAATGGAAATCAAAGCGGGCAGAATCAGCAGGCGCAGAGTGGCAGCGGTAATGCCTCGATGCAGCAACAACAGCAAATACTGCAGCATCAGCAGCAATTGCAACAGCAATTGCAGCAGCAGCAGCAGCAGCAGCAACATCCACAATTGCAGCAACAATTGCAGCAGCAAATGCAACATCCATTGCAACAGCAGGTATTTAAATTAATTTAAATGATACCAAAGTCAAAATTTTCTTATTATTCGGGTAGATTGTTGTTAAATTTGATATTGAATGTACGCTTTTTACTGATTAAAAGGAAAGAGAAGGAATAGAAGAAGAGTGTGAGAACGAAGCGATTGATTATATTGATTGGGCTAAGAAGTTTGGCGAGATTGATTGTAGTTGGACTGAAGAGAATGATTGCAGAGAAATATTGTGGTTCTTTAATCTTGATTTGGGATGTTGATTTATATATATATATATATTTTTTTTTATAATTTCTATAATTTCGTTAATCAGCGATTTTCCATAGTCCCATTTCAAATTGTAAATTGATCAAATTGTTCGAGTAATTTATCTATCTTCCTTTTTTTATGAAATTTTATATGAGATGTTAAATCTATTCGTATACTGTGCAGCCATACTTATATCACGGGAATCTGGCTTTTTTTATACATATCAATTATATTTTGTTAATTACGTTAATATATACACATTAGTGTATATTTCATTGTCATATAATATATATTATAATATATAAATTCTTAAGGCTTTTACGGGTATTTTCTTTAAAAGTGCTAACAGGTTTACGGGCTTTTTTTCTCCTTGTACATTTTTAATGATATGCTAACGTTTCGTGAACAGCATCGTTCACGAAATGTTGGCATAACATTAAGACTATATCAAGACACGGAGAAAACCCGTAAATTTGTTAACTTTTAAATGTATATATAATATATATTATATACATATAATGATACATGTTATGCCCTATTGCTATTATTCGAGTTTTTGAGATGTGTGATTGCTTGTGTGCGTATGTCTGTGCGAAAGAAGACGTATGTGTGAAGAATCACATTTATACAAGAATTATATATTAAACAAAACACACACACACAAGAACACTCTCTTTCTCGTTGAAGACTGAAATACTCATTTTAGAATGTTAGATAATAATTTTTTCAAGCAGTAGTTTTCAATCGCCGAGGAGACGGGACAATCGGTCTCGCCGCGTACACAACAATTATAATGTTGCGCATAACATCAGTGCCTTATATAATTCCTATATAATTCCCACAAGCAACAGAAATGTATTATTATAAAAGAATAGATTAAAATGTCTTTTTATAATTAACTATGATAAAAGTAGATAATAAAAGTATAAATTTCTATTACGAGGAGTGTCGAAGGATATATAAAAGTTGTAAAACGATGCCAAAACAGTAAATATAAATGTACAATACCTAATGTACATATTATCTATATACAATAAATATGTACAAATACCTAGTAAAAAAAAGAAGACGAAGAAATGTAATAAATCTGTTAATAGCAACAATAAAACTTAGGAGTGTTCATAATTGATATACTTCATATTAATAGCAAGACGCGTAGTGATCTTTATATCATTTCATAAGATAATATAATAGAGACGTAGCGAAACGATGAACATACAGGAGACGCTTTCATCTTATTTTTTTAAATATTTTTTCTCATGAGTGATATTTCTTCGCGTTATATCCTGTATTTGTAGAAAAAGATATTTGTATATAAGATGCTCACTGCATGTAGATATTGTATGCATGCGCATCAAGTAATTATTGTTACACAAACTGCATTATGATTTTTCTGAAAGTTGATGGCAAAAAAACTGTTACTTGTAAAATTAAAATAAATGAATAAAATAACGTTGAGTTTCTTCTGCAAATAATTTGATACATGTGTTCCGCGAATAAAGACATTTTTTTACACACACCTATATGATAAATAGTGATACACAGAGCATTTAAACCTATTCTAAAATAGCTGTAAGCTGTAAAAAGTGACCAATCGTAGTTGAATATGATAAGGAGAATAATCGATTACGATTGGTCAGTTTTTCAACGGCTTACGGCTTATTGTAGAATTTGGCTTTAAATCTTAAGTTTGCAAGTGACTCATAAAGGAAGCATTACAGCCATTGCTGGGAGATACCGTTTCACTTATATCTTAGTTCGCAAGTTGCGGAATAAATATCTTTGTGCATCGCAAAAGAAAAGAAAAAAAAATATTGTGCTTTCTTTCATTTCCCTCGTCTACTTATCGTTACTCCTGATAAATCCGACTCTTATCATTCGTCTGCGCGTGTCTATCTGAACGTATGCATGTACGTGGAGCATACTCTTGGAGCATACTGTTTCATGAAAATATAACGGAGTAGTAGCACGCGTATAGCTCTTTTTTTTTACAATGTTATATCAGAAATATCGAATGATAGCAGCTATCTGTTTACTAGCTTTCTCACGAAACAGTTGTCCAAGAGTATGCTCCACGTACATGCATACGTTCAGATAGACACGCACTTTTACTGTACTGCACATCTTCGCTGCTTATATCATAACACACGTCTCAGAGAAAACTACATCCTCGTCGCATCTTGATTCTCACATCCTCATTTGATGTGACTTTGCAGGTGCAACAGGGTTCTGGTGGCCCACCTACATCCGGCCTCCAAGGGGTTGGTGTACCGGTCAATCAGCAGGGCATGTTCATGGCACAGGGTGGTGTAGGTGGCAGAGCCACCGGGTTCCCGGTCGGCGGTATGGGCAGTAGCGCCCTGCAGGGGCCCCTGGCCTACCTGGAAAAGACAACGAGCAACATAGGGATGCCAGAGAGGCGGAGTTGACGCGGAAGGGGGAGGGGCCGGGGCCGGGGTCGTGGAAGAGGCCGAGGTAGAGGAAGAGGCGGCGGTGGCAGTGGTCTACCTCCGCCACCACCGCTTCTCGATCCCTCAGACCCGTCGTCCTACGCTGCTGCTGCCGCAGTCGCAGCTGCTGCGGCGGCGCCCCTTCCCTCTCCGCAACAGCAGCCACCTCCGCCGTGTACATAATACGTGTGGAATTTTTAAGTTCTTCTTGTGGAAGAGACACTACGTTTGTACTTCCACGGTCGAGCACATTTGGTTGTCACGTTGGATGTTGTGTTCGATGTCATGGTTGTTGATTTGTGCTGCATCAGTGATAATGACGATGAAACACTGATGATTGAAGTGTATGTTACCGTTATATTGTGAAAATACAACAAACGCGTACAAATGTGTCATAATTTACGGAGCTTATCGGCGGTCTCAATGGCAAATATGTTTGAACAGTGCCAGTTTTTATTGTGATCCAACTTTGGATTGACGCTATGATTATACGAACATTCTTTCGCATTCCTCCCTGAAACTGTTTTGCGCGCGCGAAAGATGGTTTTGCATTTTTTGTACTAGTCGTAGAAATCGTAGAAATAAGATTTTAAGGGTGGGCGCACGGAATGCGCCATTGACGTAGAATGACAAAAAGTATGATCAATTACTTTGCAAATGAAGTGGCAATAAGCTGTACATACTAACGATATTTATGTGTGATGTAAGCAACAGGATTTTACTTGGTACACATAGGGATATAAAAGGATATATTCTTCCTATTTCTTTATATTATATCGTTAGTTTATGATATTGGTTCTTCGAGATTGAATCGTTGACACTTTTATAATAAACTGCGTTTATCGCTTTTGCAGTGCCTTTGGACATCCTATGAAGTGTACTGTTCATGCGATATCAATAAAATGTATATTGCGCCTAGTGTACTGTGCAATCACATCAAAATGTATGCTGATCGCACTAATATAAGCATCCTGAACATTTGCGTACAAATTCGAAATTTCCATGTTTACATAAATTTTCAAATAGTTTTTTAAAGCATCTCTGTGTGCCTGTAACTAATGTACACTTATGCATTAGATATAGACATATTAATACATATAAAACGAGCAATCTGAAAATGCAAATCAAATTTCCAAAAGATTGTGTTGTGCTATCTTTTTGTTAACATATTGTTTATTTTGTATGATTAATAATTTATGATGTGCGCCATTAGAGTACTTTTGACAAGTATTTATGTTCTATGCACATTGTCATAAAGTACAATAATTTTATTTATTTTATTTTATTTATTCCACGCGATAGATATATTGTAGATTAAATAAGTTAATTTTAGTTTAAAGTTAAACTGGATAATTATATAATTATAATAATATATATTATATTATAATAATTACTTCGAGACATATCAATTTTATTGATGTTTATTTTATTTTGAGTTAGAATATATGTATAGTATATAATTAAAAATAATATACAAGGTAACAGGTATATGCTCGTTTTTTATGTAGTGTGATAACCAAAAGAAATATTTTATATATAAATTGTCGATTTAATATGACAATATGAATATAGATCTATTTTTCATATTGACAGGCAATTTTTATATATTGCGCCTTTTGCGAGTCCAGGACAGAATGCTTATATTATTCATTATTTTTTTATAGATCCAACGTACTCATACATACGACATATGCAACTTTCATCCTATAGAATATTGTATTGTATGCACTGTAGTATACATATAATTGATACGAATGTTAATTATATACATATACAGAGCACGTTTTCTTATTTGCACTATTCCAGCTAGTTTAAAATCCTGATTGTAATAAGGTCCCGATAAATATGTAAAAGAAGAGGTCAACTTTACACACACGAAAGCAATTTGACTACAAATTGTAAAAAGGTTGTATAAAACTCATTTTAAAAACTGCCGCTTTTACGGACAATCAAACGTGATAGTCGCATGTATAAAGTGGAATTATCAGTTTCGATTTGTAATGGAACTGTATTTTATATAGGAGAACGGTGTCTAATAGAAGAAAGAGTCTCTCTCTCTCTCTCTCTTTCGCCGGATTTTTTTTTTTTTTAGAAAATAGGATACAGGACCAACTGTGCTGTGGATTCATAGAAAGGTTCGAAGCTAGGTTTCGCTAAATAACTTGACAAGTTTTCCAAACACTTCTATATATGTCAAAATGCAACGAATATATAATTATCAAGTTTCATGATACAAAATTTATCCGAAGATGCCTTCGACAAATGTAAAAATTATTTTTGAAATGAGTCACACAGCTTTCCACATCTAGATAAAGTAAAATTAAAGTATTCTATTTCAGACATACTTTTTCATCCGCATGTATACTTACCGGATTATAATATTTCCATCGTATAAGAAGTGGTAACTTAAAAAGATGTAGGCACTGCCTAATATGGCGAGGTACAATATAATTTTGATTCTAGGGATTGTATAGTCGTGAAGCATTTCGATAACGATCTCTCAGACAGAAATGTAATTGAGATGTTATCTTGATGTATCAAATATATCAAAAATGAAAAATGTATACGTATAAACCTTGATTAACATACTTAATGTACGTACTCTTCAAATATTCTTATAGTAATGGCAATGTATTTTCATGCAGCATGCAGAAATCATAATCTTTGCTAGCATTCGTTTTACTCTGCTAGAATGTTCAACTCAAGTTTCAGCATATTCAATATTCAGACTGATAAAGATAATTTTCAAATCGCATTCAACCTGCGTTATGTCACTGATCTTATACCCTCTCGAAGGAGCTTGTTATCTAGTAAGAAATTGCGTTAAAAATGCTGCTACTGGCCTGCGATAAGTTGTTTATGCGTTTTATCACTGAACATTATCATTTCAAGTCCGATTAAATGGATCGCTCAATATAATCCTCTCCATATTAGGCGCAATTCCCCTATATACATATATAGGTATATATATATATACATATATATATATATGCATATTTCTATATACATATCCTTCTGTGTAAACTTTTACATATATGCATAGAAAATTACAAGAACCCATTTGGCGCGCGAGTTACGTAAAATGAATCATCTTGCGGACCGTTTAACAGAGCGCCTGTAGGAATTGTATAAGCGTACGTGTCGGGCGCCCGGTCATTCCGGCCGGGATGTACGATAATTCGTCGTGGGCGGGTCCCATGACGCCAGCTATGTCCAGATGCATCCACGGTGTATCCTTGCTGACGAACTCCCTCAAGAAGGCGGCGGCGGTGCAAGAGCCACCGCCCTTGCACTTCGCGATGTTATTTATATCAGCGCCCTTGACTTTTTCTGAAAATTGTAGCAAGAGACTTTTAAGCTTTATACAAGCGACGAATAGCAACGATTTCATGTGTCTCAGCTTTCAGTATCCAAGATATATAAAGAATAGATAAAGAAAAAAAGTTTATAAAATAATTCCCCGAAAAGAATTTAAAGTAAAACGTAATAGCGTGTATAATCTTTAGAGCACTCACTTGTCACTTCATCGGTGAAGTGCTGCCACAGAGGGAATCTCCACACTCGATCGCCGGTTATCGTGCCAGCATTTCTCAGAGTTTCAAAAAGATTGCCGTCATTGCTAAACACTCCAGTTGCGGAGTTCGACAAGGAGATCCTCATGGCACCAGTCAACGTAGCGATATCCAAGATAAATCTATTTAGATTGATGATTTATCAGTTTATAATTGTTTTTTATAATTTGTCCAATATACATCGATAAAATAGGATAGTGCATAACGCGGTGAAAAAACACAGGAAAATTCGTGGGAGCATCTTTTTGAAGCATAGAAGTACGACGACAAGAAATAATTAGAATCCAAAATTGGAGATGGTAATTTTCTCATATTAATTCTAAATATCAATTTGTTTCAAGTAAACCTTGGATTAAACTGCTGAGCGTAGCACAGGGCGTCGGCGAGAATCAGCCTGCCCTCCGCGTCGGTGTTGTCCACGATGATGGTCTTGCCGTTCATCGCCTGCACCAGATCTCCCGGCTTCGTGGCATGCCCGGACGGCAGATTCTCCGTGAGCGGGATCAGCCCGATGATATTTTTCTTCAGTTTGAGCTGCGCCGCGGCTCGGATGGTGGCGGCCACGCAGGCGGCGCCGCTCATATCGGCGCGCATCTCGTCCATCTCCGACGGCGGCTGCGAGCAATCGTTCGCCTCTAAGTCTCAGTTTCTCACGTTATTTCTTCAAACGGAGAAAGAGCGGCTCTCTTACCTTAAGGCTGATGCCACCGGCATCGAAAGTGACTCCCTTACCGACGAACGTCACCGGTGGCTCACTCGGATTGTCGGCGCCCTTGTAATTGATCTCGAGGAACTTGGGCTGTTCGATGCTGCCGCGCGCCACGCTGAGGAACGAGCCCATCTTCTTCTGCTCGGCCCAGCTCTTGTCGCGCACCTGAACGCCGACCCCGAGCTTCGTCAGGGCCTCGAAGACCCGCTGCGAAAATATCGTGGGTGTCATCAGATTCGCGGGCGTGTCAGAGAGCTCGCGAGCCCAGTTCTGCGCCTGGGCTTTGATAATGCCGACTTGCCATTCCGCCCTTAAAAAATAAAAAATAAAAAAAAAACGAATTATTAGTTTTGTATTCATAAAACGAGATTTACAATTATTGTAGACATTTTCGATGAGTATAAAGAAACGTTACTTACTCTCCTTCTTCTCCGTATAGCGAGATCTTTGGTGATTTCTTTTTCTTCTCTTCATTTTTAAATCCTTGATAAAGCCATGTGGATAAACCAGCTCCCTCGGCGGCGGCTTCCGCGTCGCCTAGCGTTTCTAGCTTGATGTCCTTTATCTCGACGTCATCGAGTGCACGGCATCCCGCTAGAACAACAAAACTTTAATAGAATCTATAAGGCTCTAGAATAATGCAACTTTTTCTTTTTAACGATCATCACTAAAGTTTATGTAAGAAAGTTAATAAAAATTATCGCTTATATCACAAAGAATTATGACTACATCTTAAACGCACAAAAGAAGCTCTTTTATATTCTTTAAAATAATAATAACGTATTAAAATATAAGTATCAAAATTGTTACAGTTTACTATGTACGTTGGAATATCGATTTTCAATTTTAAAGGATCTCTAAATTTGAATAACAAAAGTGGAATGACTATATTTGCATAATTATGTAATTTTTTGGAATATATTAAGGATACCTGCTGCGGCAGCACGTACGCTTTCCTTTCCTTCATGGATCTCCTCAAGTTTGTTAATACCAAGACCCTGCTTCCCCAGTCCAACTACCGCGATTCCGGTGTAATCTGTTTCATCCAAACCCCAAAACACTCTAGCATGACCTTTAGGGATCTTTGGTCCTGCTCTGTAGCGCAAACATTCGTTCCAAGTTAGTTGAAAAGATCTGACCATATAATAATTTGTGAGGAAAAATACGCGACAGTAGACAGAGAGAGAGAGAGAGATATTCAGACACAAATTCATAAATTTATTAATTACAACAGAATCTAGGCATTCTCTTGACATTCAATCATGTACGGTGTACTTTGCAATTTTAAAATACACTCTAAAAATATACTATTCTTTATTCTAGAATATTCTTCTTTTTCATCCAGTTACACATTATACACATCGGTACATTTACAATTTACTCACTTAGGAGATTATTATAGCTACACATTGATTCACAACTGCTGTTTTTTATCTGAGCTACTGTATCTGTGTGGATACATTACATTACGGAACTGTTTCACATTCAGTTCTCACTAACACTGTTGAAACGAGCATGTTACAACCTATTTAGCAGCTTTAAGATCAAGATGCAAGGTAACGTCTCGCGTCAAGTACTGCGCAAGACCGGCCCCTTGTATATTAATATACAATGAAATATATCCGTTGATAATCTTCACAATTTGTTTTATATACAACAACGCTATAAGTAGTAATGTGACTTTGTCATGGGGTTTAGTTGGCATAGTTGTATCGTGAGACGAAATAATGAAAAACAGATTTAAATGACTACGATCGTAGACAAACAGGTTGCGACACTTCTTTTTATGAGTTTCCAAACGCACTAATATATTTTGCAAATGCAAACCACGATTGGTGCATTATCTCTAGTCTAAAGATAGTACTTTTTTTTACTGTTTCTAGACTACAGATAGTACACCAATCGTGGTTCGCGTATGCAACATATTAGTGCGTTTCGCACTTAAAAAACTCATAAAAAAGAAGTGTTGCAATCTATTTGTCCACGACTGCACATTACATGTAATTATATGTTCACCGCAAATAAGAAATATAATAGATCCACTAATACTCATGACAGAAGATTAAAGCAAGTTTATTATTTAAAAAAAATAAAACAGATTAAGTCAATTGTTCTTGACTTTCGACTTAGAATACTCGTGATAATATTGCCATATAAGGTGATGAAAGTGAATCTTGAGCCTTGATATTTCGGAAACCGGTAGAAAAGTTTATAAGCAGCCCTTGGTTGAACGGCGCTTCGAAGCGAAGACTTGAAATTTGCTCGTCACGCAATAAGTATCTCTCAATATCGCTCGACGAGCTGACACAGTTCGAGTGAGCTGTGTATTTGCTGCTCTAAGTTAATTAAAATAAATACAAATTAATTCCATCTGTATTTTCAATCTATCACTTTCGCAAATTCAACCGGCTAAAAATATTAACCGTGCGCAAGAAGTTCCCGCTACTTCACGTACGGTTATTCTTCCCGCAATAGATTTCACTTCTCTATTCGTACTTTGTACATTTTCTCTTTTCGCAACGTTAATATTACTTGGAACAACTTGCCTTAATTTTGTCTTTCTTAGAACAATAACTTGCTTTAACTCTGTCTTTCAACGTTCAAATATTTTTCAATTATTTAACGTTTAAATTAGGCTAACGTAATATTGCATACTTGTTAACAATATGGTCAAATTCAAAGACTATAATACAAAAAATTTATATGCAGTAAAAAAAATATCGTAACCAGACAGTTTCAATAAAACAACATGTGTTATCTATATGTTACCATTATCGGTGTAAAAGATATTTGAGATGTTGATTACACCTTATCACGGCTCTGTTTACAGGATTGTGCAATCATGATACCACCAAGTCTCGAGCTGAAAATTTCGTTAGTAACTGGTTGCAAAAAATTTTTTTTTAACTGTTGAGATTTCTATCACGCGGTAGCGAAAACATCGATATTTCGGTATTCAAAATATTAATATTGCGATTACTAGTGATTTCTAAGAAAATGCAGGTACGATTGCCAGTCGAAGTTACATATGTACATCAGTGTTATATTACAATTCAATATACGCATATTAGTTTTGATGATTCTCGTTCCGATGTTTCAATTATTTTCAATCGAGAATTTATATTTAAAAAAAATATATTATATAATATATAATATATAATATACATATACATATAATATATTATTATTATGTATATTATATATTATTATATATTATATTTTTTTAAAATATTTATATTTTTAGAGAATTTAAACAAGTGCATTTTTTTTCAGATTTACTCCGAAAATTTAAATAAAATTGAGCCGTTATCAAACATGTGTTTGTCATTTTTAAGTTTCGCGTTAAAAACAGATTTCGTGATGGATTAAAATATCGAAGCAATCGTCATTCGAACATTAAAAAGCGTTATTGGAAAATCACTCTTGAACACACGCATACACTATTGTAAAGGAGTCTATTTTAAGCGATTGAAGAATCATACAAGGATCGTTGGATTTGATTCATCTTATTCAATTTCTGTTGAATCCGAAAATCATAATTCAAATAGTCTTGGTATCCGGGAAATATAATTTTGGGACATATTTTAACAGAAAACAAATATATATATATACATATACATATGTAATGTATACATACGTAAATAAATGTACAAATCTAAATAAGTATAAATATATACATAGCTTAAAATAATTCCGCTATTGCAGGTTCTAAAACCCTGATGAGAAAGAATGATGGCTTAGATATCAATATACATCACAATATTTTTAAAGACAAATTCAATGTCGCAGACATCGCTCGACAAAATTAATGATGAAATCAACCATTGCTTTTTTCTCAAAATACATCCCAAAATTATTTCCCCGGATATTAAGATTATTTTAACTGTGATTTTTTAATTCAGCACGTAAAATTGAGTAAGAAAAAAAAAAGATAAATCCTACGATTCCTGCATGCTTCCCAAATCGCCTAAAATGCAATAGACTTGTGCAGACTCGGACTGTTTGCTTCCAAAAGTATTGTACTTATTGTAGTAAACGTCACTCTCTCAATCACATTGATCATATATTTAAAAATATATGTATATGTGTATATATATATATCTGCATTAAAATACAATTTAACAAGCGTGCAATTATGGTATCTCCGACAAATATTAAGTATCAATAACGTAAAATTACGAAAGATCATCGTGTTCATAAGTCATACGCACGAAATTTCTTTTTTTCGAGCATGTTATAATAATGCAAAAACTTTAATCATTACGATTCAGTCTGTTGAGATAGAATTATAGCTAAATTAGATTAGATATAGATTCCAAATCCGAAAATGTAATAATTAACGGTACCGATGTTCCTAATTATAACGTACACATAGCGTACATACAATCCAGAGAAAGTATCTGTGCTCTCTGATACATTGAGCATGGATCATTGGAAGATCTCCGCTTGCGATAGTTTTATTCACCGATATAGTGCATCTTTCAATGCCGTTTTCATCCGATTTATATTACGTCAATTGTACAAATTTTCACTACGCGCGGTCGTTATTTTAATTACGCTATTTAGAATGGATTCCGTTATTTCTCGTTGTTATTCACGCTTAAAATAGTCACAAGAGAGATACCATAAAATAAAAAGGGTCTAAGTGTATGCGGGGCTAAATATATTATAAAAACGTAAAACAACGTATATTTCATAAATTTCTCTCTTGAAATATAATTTTTGTCAGACATTATTCTTATATCTCTAATCCTTTCGCTACCTTTTTTTTTCCATTATTTAGACCCGTTTTAATTTATAGTAATCGAATACACGTGTTTCACTCATTAAGTTCTCAGTTCAACAACTTTTTCCTAATCTCCTAATCTCAAACCAGCTCTAATATTTTGATAATCCCTTGAGAATTGGCGGCCACTACGACATTAGACATCTGCCTCCAGCACACCGCGGACACGAACTCGTTCAGATCTTCCTCCCTTCTGTCCTGCACCTCCAGTATGCTTCGAACGGCGTCGAATTTGTACGAGAACAACTGCTTTGTCAGTCCTTTGTAGTACACGTATAGCGCGTTGTTCTCGGATCCACAAGCTACGTAATCGCCGTCGGTGGCGAGTCCGACAAAGTTCTTCTCGTTCACATGCCCGACGAACGATCGCAGACAAAGCGGATTATTTATGTTCCACATCTTCAGCTGTGAATCCGTGCTGGCCGACACAATTTCCTCCTTGTTGATAAACTTGACGTAGGAGACGGCTTTGCGGTGGCCCTTGAATATGCACAGCGCCTCCTTCATGTTGCGCAAATCGTAATAATGCACGCAGTGATCCGCGGAGCCGAACGCCAGGTGACACGAGCTACGTGGATTGAATTTCACGCAGCACACATTTGCCTTCGCCTCTAACGACGCCACGGAGTAATCGGTATTCAATGCCCACAATTTGACCCGGGCGTCGTCGGAGCCGGACGCGATCAGTCTAGTGTCCACGTCGTTGAAATCGACGGACCAGCACCTCTTCTCGTGCTCCTGGAACGCCTTCGTCCGCTGACCGGTCATCGCGTCCCACACCGTCACGGTGCCTTCGTAGTCCGACGAAGCGAGCATCCCCTTGTGAAAGGAATTCCACGAGACGCAAGAAATCTTGGAACTAGAAACCATCTCGACGCAGGGATAGTGAATGTCGACGGTGTCCCGTATCACGGCACCGTAATCGAATACCTTTATACGCTTCGTAACACCGGCGATCGCGAAGAACTCATTGTCCTTATCGAACTCGATACTCGAAACGATCGTGGAATTGTTGAACAAATCCGACGAGTAGTTGAGAGTGGCCAGTGGACGCAGGGAATTGTACCTCGAGAACTTGACGAGATTCTCGCGAAACACGTCCAGACCGGAGCTCGTGCTGTGCACGCCGCCGTGCTGCTGAGCCTCGCTCTGGGACTGCGACTTCTGACCTAGCAGCAGTTCCTTGCCGCGGGAGTCGAAGTAGCACTGAACGAAATCGTCGAAGTGAGCGTGCAACCGCTTCCTGCGCACGGCCAGGGTCGATCCACCGGACTGGCTGACGCTCGCCGGATTGGCGAAGGTGTCGGCCGCGCTGGTCGTCGTCTTGTCGCTAGGCTTCACCATGTTCGAGTCTATTATGTCTATGAGGCCGAGCATCTCCCGCCTGATGGCCGACATTTGCGCGGTGTCGTTCTCGCTCGCCTTCTTGACGTCCTCCACCCGCGGGCACTTGCTCTGCACGTCCTTCAGAATCGTCTCCACCTCCTCCATGTCCTTCTTGATCAGCACCACCTCTTTCTGCAGCTGATTCCTCTGCTCCTCCTTCTGCTGCAGCAGGTGCTTGAGGAACTCGTGCAGCAGCTTGTTCTGCGCCGTGCAGGTCTCCGCCTCGAGCAGATGCTTCCGCTGAGTCAGCACCTCGAGCATCACGTTCACGTCGGGTAGAGTGAGATTGGCGCTCTCCGCCGCGACGATGCTCCGCAGACCGTCGGGCGCCGACGGATCGCTACCCGCCGCTCCGTGCCTGCCGTTGTCCGCGTAAGAGCCCAGCTGGGCGAGGCCCTTGCTTCTCGTCTTATACTTGGACACCAGCTCGTCCAGCAGAAAGTTGGGAAAAATGTCGTGCTCGCCCAACGTGAAGCTGCATTTCGGGCAACGGTCCTTAATCTCTAAGCACTTTACGATACAGTGGTGGCAAAACGTGTGCCCGCAACGTGTGATATACGCCGTGTCGATGAGATCGAAGCAAATCGGGCACATGTAGTCGTTGCTCTTATCCTCTAATATCCCGGTCATCCTCTGCAGCACGTTCGTAGGCGGATGGGGCTTATTAAATCTACCGTCGCCTAATCCACCACTGCTCCCTGCGCTGCTATCGTTCCCCATATTACCGTCGCCAGGTGCCGACATTACTACTATATTATTACTCTACTCGTATTCCCTCAGTCAGTCTTGAAGCAGTGATGGTTAATTAACGGATATAACGGCTTTTTAAAATCTCCTATTTCGATTTGTCTGACGGCGCGTCGAAAAGAATTATATCATAAGTCAGGCAGTATTATATTCTCATTTATAAAGCGCAGCTGTGTTTCTTAGGATATCCTTTTTGTGCGGAGCAAGTTGCGCGCTTCATATCATGCGTATAATACCGTCACTCTCTCACTCTAGTCACTCCTGAAACAATGAAAATAATGCCAGTGAGCTCGTGCGGCGGTAAGAGACTATTGTTGGAAGATTCAAAAATTTTTCGATATAACAGAACAAATAGTAACTTTGTATACATGAGAATTTCAAGATAAACAAAGGGAAAGCACTTTTGAATGTCAGATAAAAGCTCAGGCAGCATTATAACAATTGTTTCAGGCTGGAAATATGAATAAAATATTTAAACATATTGTTATATTGTATGACGAAACGAAAGTGAAACAACAATTTGGAAGTGCAAATGCTGTGTACCAGGGCGGCGGGGGGAGGGAAAGAGAGAGAGAGGACGAAGGGAGACCTTGTATATACACGTCGCGGTTTCTATGCCTCGGTGCGTCACACGCTCGTTAAACTAAGTGTGTGCTAAGAGTATGTACATGAGGGGAAAACACAGATCTCAACTTCGTCGAGAGAAACAGAGGACTTTGTAATCTGGAGAAAGAAAAAGGGGGTACTCCTGACGCGAGCGTAACATATGTGTCCAAATCAGGTCAGGGGTAAGTCTGTGGCGAGACGTATTCTACAACAGTGGCGCACAAAGGGGGTACAGCCTTGTTAGATGGGTGAAAGAAAAAAAAAAGTACGATACTAAAAACAGAACGGCGCGCGGCTGCGTGGCGTTGAATGCCGTTTATCTAAGACTCGCGCGGAGACTTGCACAAAAAGAGATTTCTTTACAGCGTAGGTGGTAAAAGTTTGCAGCGGACACACTTACAGCAGGATGTTCTTCAGCAGCTTGCCGTTAACCAGCTCATTGTACTTGGCCGCCGTAGGGGTGAGCACGACGTTGTCCTCGCTCTCCGTTTCGTAAACACCCAGTACCAGTCCCGTCTACGGAAAGAAAGGGGGCAAAATGTGTCAGGGGGGAGTCGGGCGACAGCGGGAGGACGAGGTCGTCGACGAGGGAGCATGGTCCGCGTATTCGGGGGTGTCCGAGAAAGCTCGGCGTCGAACGCGCTGACGAGGACGAGAAAATCAGCTCGAGATAAGTACGGGCCGAGAAAGAGTGAGAGAGAGAGAGAGAGAAATATATCCCGTGCGTGCACACGACGACGGATCGCATCACGTATTGCATCACGATTCGTCCGAATTTTCCGGGTTTGCCGCGAGGAATTTCGACGTCCCGTCGTTACGGAGGAGCGAACGCGCCGTTAATCGACGAGGCGGAATCGCGGCGATTACCTTCATGATCGATACGCTGGCGAAGAGGCGCAAGTGCGAATACTGCGAATTTCCGTACTGCAGTGCTCTAGCCCTGATGAAAGACAATGCCATAATTCGTTCCCCCAGGAGAGAGCGTTAAGCGCGATACATAATGCACACCCCATCATGCCAGCCGCACACGGCACGCCACGGCGCCTGGCGGGCGTGAATCGACGATTCCGATAGGCTGGATTTGATCTGCGAACGTTGGCGCCCAGGCCACGCGGCCGTGCGAACCGCGCGAATTTCGAACACCCCGAGAGATCTCTCGGTCGTTGACGACGATCGAGGATTTTACAGATCGAAACAGTCGCGAGAATATACTTTCTTTATAAACTTTCTACGTAAAAATTCTTAGGGATCTGCAGACTCCTCTAAGTCTCTTTACAATCTATATCTTGACAATATAACGAATAGAATTTATGTTTTGTTTTGGAGAGGAAAACTCAACATTACAAAAAATAATCGTAGTACATTGAGCTAAAAAATGATCTGATAACATAAAGTATCGTAAAGTAAAGTGAAAGTATATTTTGAAAGTTTAATCTTTTTGTGTGAAGTAATCATGTTTACCATTTGCTCCAGTATACTCTTTTTTAGTCAAAAACTGAGAAGCTTGCAGTTGCAGATGATTATCGATTTTTTAACAAAAAAAAATGTAGATTATACGTACGTTTCGTAAACAAAACTTTGTATGAATTTTTCAAAATTGTTTTAAAAACAAGATATTGTACATATTTTATTTATATTTTTAAAACACTTGAATTCATTTACACTTTCTAATTTTCAATTATGATAAACGAACTTTGTCTCAGAACTGCAAAAATTTTCCTATACTTGTAATTTATAATATACACATTGAAATAATAAAGGTTTAATAATATTTTCATTATATTTATAAAATAAGTTGAATATTTTACATACAACATTTTTTTATAAATATATGTATGTATTATAATATATACAAATATATTACATATATGTATATAAAGCAAATATATTTTGTTATGAGAACGTAAGAATTAATTTTAATAACTTTTAATGAATTAGCATTAATTTTCCAAAATTTAATGGTAATTTTACTGTTTTAAGAAGCTACTGTTTTAGCGTCGCATTGGTCGACAACATCAATTTTAAAGTAAATAAGTCAAATGATTGAAGAACGAGAACATGTACGAAGGCATCGACAGCCGAGAAGATAGAAACGTGTCAAATGAAATGTAAACGCGACGCGTTTGCGTTTCATTTGATACGTTTCGAGTTCTCGTTGCATGTACTTGATTAATACTTCCATCTCCTTGGCTGTGCCTTTGCCTCGTACATGCTGTCGTTCTACACGGTCGTTTCGTATCGTTCATTCTCCACAGCCTGCCCTATTCATTCGCGTTTTCCTCTTTTTTCCTCAAGGTTTCCTTCAGTTTGTTGTCACCTTCATGTTGTTTCGCGATTCTTTTTTTTTCAATTTTCCTTCTGTTTCTTCAATTTTTATTTAGCCGCCTTACTTTAATTGCTTCTCCGTTTTTTTTATCTGTTCTTTTCCTCGTCGGACGATGACTGTTAGTAAATAATTGTTGTTTGACATATCTGACTTATTGTTCGCTTCTTCTGTTTTAAGCCTCTCACAAATGATATGTTATCTCAAGCATTATCCATTGCCTCTCTGCTGTTTTCTTTCTCCAATAGGAATTTTTTCTAAAGAATTTTTTACAAAGGAATGACAGCAATGGTAGCTCTATTGTTCGATCCGCCAGTAAAAACTAAGGAATTTCAAACTGGCGTTGCTCGAATAGATGTCAAATTTGGATAATAAACAGATCCTCGTCGTATTTGGGTTTCAATTATCTGTCTAGCCTGCCCTTTAATTATTTTACCGTATCTTCGACGCGATGCTCTGAGCCAATAATAGAGACTTTGGCGATGCTTCAAGATGTTCCTCGCATCTGCAACGCTCGATTATGCTGTCGCACGCTTTATCCTTCAATTCGTCTCGATTCTTGTATTCCTACTTTGTATTCCTACTTTAATATTTCCAATTTCGTAGGCTCGAGCAGGTGAATTTCTTTCTCGTGCACCTCCTAAATAAAGCTGTTCATTCGCGTGTCTCTCAAGGAATGAAGTTTGCGCTTCAAGGTGGAAGTCTGGACACAAAAGTACCACAATGTGATGTACTGCGGGGTGTATGAATTGATGTCCTTGCCCTTCTCATCGACGATGACCGGAGCCGTACCGGCTTTCCTTGCCTTCTCGACGGCTCGTCCGCGAACGAGCTCTTGTTCAAGATGCACGAGACGGTCATTTTCATTGACGAATTCACCATTCCACTGGAAATTTTGTTTTCTCCCTTACAGAGGTCCATTCATCGAGGCATCTTTTTCTCTTGTCTTTGCGTTAGCCTCTTCCTTTCTGTAAAATATATCATATATAATTTATGCGCCAGAGACACATTATTGTTTTGTTTATATACGGTGCAGTGAGGTTATGTTGCTTTCTCGTCAGGCTTCGGACATCAGAGAAGCCCGATAGGGAAGCACTGTGAAGGAGTCACAGAACGTACAAAGTTGGAATCTGGAGCGACTGGACAGTGAACCATATAAGAATACAGATAATTAGATAAATGTCATAAATGTCTATGGATTGGATCACCGACGAGGTTATTATTAAAGATGGTCGACCAAAGCCGCCAAAGGCAATTTTCGTAACTGGGATAATAGAAGAACGATGACAATACCGACGATTTTGGCTGTACCGGAGGATAACAAAAATATGACTATTTTATTATCGACAGTGAAACCATATAGTTTACATAGATTTTTCAATTTTCGCAACGTTTGCTGTATGAATACACGTATTTTTTAATTTTCACAATATGTCCAGCAAACGTTGCGAAAATTGAAGAATTTGAACATGTAAAATTTTACTGTCGATATAATAATTATTAATTATATATGTATATATATATATATATATATATATATATATATATATGTATGTATGTATATTTTGGTACCTGCACGTAAAAACGATCGTGTTTGTTATCCTCAGTACAACCAAAATAGTTGGTAATGTCATCTTCAATTACCCACCGGGCCCACTTGACAGTGACGAAAATTTGCCTTTGGCCGTTTGTTAATACCTCGTCGGTGATTGGACTGATTGGACACGTTATCCCCACGGTCTTCGTTTCTGTCCCACGTCCGAAATGATTTCCCCATAAAAAAAGCCAGAAATTAAAGACTCAAACATGCCCGTTGTCATGGATTTGGCCTGGTAAGATCTTGAAATATATTTTAGCGCTTTATAAAACAATTGTGTTTATTTAAAGCGAATAGGACTTTTGCCTTGGAATAAGATAGTGGGTCTAGAATCGCCATTTTGTCCAAATCGCGATCGCACATAACTACATTATTTTACTATATTTATTACTCTTATTTTCCATTTCGTATGAATTTTTCGATTTCTCAATGGGACCTCATCGATTTCATCGAAAATCTTTCGGCACCTCGGGCCCAATTCTGCACAATCCGCACCTCCAACGAAGCGTCTTTTCGCAATTCGCAACGCGCCTTTCATCTTGGGGAGGACGGGGACTTGCCGCTAGAAGTCCCGGTTGATTGACTTGAAGAGAGTGGGGCCCTGGCGCCCTGGTCGCGGAAACGGGAGAGAGGGGGAGGACTCGATCGTGTTGTGCCACGGCACATATATACAGATATATACCGTGGTTGGGCAGTGTTGAGGCCCCGTAAGTGTGTCGGGGGGGGACCTGTCATATATGTCGGATTTTCCGTTCTGCGTCCGCGAAACGCGATCGCGCACGTTCTCCGGCGGCCGCACGAGCGAATCGACGAATTCCAGGACGAGCGTGATCGTCGAGCGGACCCCGTTCACGCGCGGTCCGTCGGCCCTCCCCCCCCGCGCGAGCGAAACGCGCACGGGCCCCGCAGCTGCTTCGAGAGCTTGGAATGCGGGATCAACATGGAGGTGGTGGCGGATAGATCGATATTGCTCGGTGATGTCACGCACGGTCGCTGACTCTCCCGTGATCCAGCATCCCGTTGTGAGTTGTGAAATTCGCACGTATTCGGGCCGTAAACGGTCGGCGACGCGTCGCGAGTGGACGCGTCGACGGGGCCCCTCCCCGCGCCACAACTCGCGCCCTGTAAATATATATATACACACACGGCCGCGCAAAATTCGAGATGGCATAGTGGCAAATTTTTTTCCCTAAAGCGAATACCGAAGTTATTCCTATGTAGAAGTTATAGAATAGTTGAAGCAGCACGAAAGTTCAATCACATGTGAAATTGTGACAGTTCTATGTTTACCTCCGTAAATTCGAAAAATAATCTACTCGCAAATTAATGACATATGTCGTCATTAGGCAACACAGGTATAATAATTAAGCGAATGAAATTTGAATTTTTGGGGATTTTTCTCTGATGCGAATTCGAAATCGGTCCTTATTGTAATTTAAATTCGTCAATTTTTAATCCTTTGTTAAATTTTAAATTAGGATTTATCTTCAAATCCCCCCAAAAATATACGTTTTTATTAAGCAAATCTAGATGAAAAAATATAGATCGTATTTAAGAACATGTATGTATTGCTTCGAAATGTCAGATGATCCAAACAATTTGTGTCTCTTGAAGTTGTATGAATGTAAAAAACATTGTATTGAAATGAATTTCAAATTGCAGAACGGAGCATGGAATGGAAGGATCATGCCCACTCCTCTTTCCCAGCTTCGGGGAGCAAAGCGGCTCTGAGCGGGGAGGAGGCTACTCGTCGCAGAAAGTCGGCGTTTATCGGCCAGGAGCGGACGCCATCGACTTGGGCTACCACACCCTCGACAACAATGCTTGTCGTACCACGTCATCGTCGTCCTCGTCAACCCCGGGCGTGCCTAGCACGCCGACTCGCCAACAGCAGCAGCAGCAGCAGCAGCAACAGCTGCCGCAGCCCAAGCATCTTCTGGTGCACCACGTCGCGGTCAACGACCTCTGCCAGCTCGACGACAATTTGCTGCTGAGGATCTTCAGCTGGCTCGACACCCGCGACCGTTGCTCCCTGGCGCAGACTTGCCGACGCCTCTGGGAGATCGCGTGGCATCCGACGCTCTGGCGGGAGGTCGAGGTGCGTTATCCGCAGAACGCCACCGCGGCGTTAAACGCGCTGACCCGCCGCGGCTGCCACACCTGCGTCCGTCGACTGGTCCTGGAAGGCGCCACCGGGTTGCCCGGCATCTTCGCCCAACTGCCGTATCTCAATCTGACCTCCCTGGTGCTGCGACACTCGCGTCGGGTCACCGACGCCAACGTTACCACCGTGCTGGATAGCTGCGCCCACCTCAGAGAGCTCGACTTGACCGGTTGTCCTAACGTTACTCGCGCCTGCGGTCGTACCACCATTCTACAGCTGCAGTCGCTCGATCTCAGCGACTGCCACTGCGTCGAGGATTCCGGCCTGGTGCTGAGCCTGTCGCGCATGCCGCACCTGGGATGCCTCTACCTGCGTAGATGCGGCCGCATCACCGACACCAGCCTGATCGCCATCGCCTCCTACTGCGCCAGCCTGCGTCAGCTGTCGGTGTCGGATTGCGTGAAAGTCACGGACTTTGGGGTGCGCGAGCTGGCGGCGCGCCTCGGCCCGTCGCTCCGCTACTTCTCCGTGGGCAAGTGCGACCGCGTGTCCGACGCCGGTCTGCTGGTCGTCGCTCGTCACTGCTACAAGCTGCGCTATCTGAACGCCCGCGGTTGCGAGGCGCTCAGCGACAGCGCGACCATCGCCCTGGCGCGCGGTTGCCCGCGTATGCGCGCCCTCGACATAGGCAAGTGCGACATCGGCGACGCGACCCTCGAGGCACTCTCCACCGGATGTCCGAATCTGAAGAAGCTGTCCTTGTGCGGTTGCGAGAGGATCACCGACGCCGGTCTCGAGGCGCTGGCCTACTACGTGCGTGGCCTGCGGCAGCTCAACATCGGCGAGTGCCCCAGAGTCACGTGGGTCGGCTATCGCGCGGTCAAACGCTACTGCCGACGTTGCGTCATAGAACATACTAATCCTGGATTCTCCAGCTGATGTAATCCAGTCAGTAATGTCGCTCGTCTCGAGGATCTCGAGTAGCGTTAGTAAGGAAAGTATTCTCGGAAGAAAGTATTCCGCGGAGAAGAATATTCCGACGGAATTCTCTGGAAAAGGGACTTTGAGGTATATCCTGAGAATATTAAAAATAGGAAATATATATATATATTGAGAATATATTCGCTAGTATAATTTAAAAAAAATGTTCGAATATTCTCAGGATATTCGATTATCTCGTAACACTAATCTCAAGTGCCAGAGTGTAATATAGCGGAAGTTTATAGAGAATTTTAAACCGAATTTTTTATCAAAGTTTATGCGACGATAAATGTTATATTTTTGATACGACGAAAAAAAAATGACGTAGAATGAATTGTTAATTTTTGAGATCAGTAATTTGTATCACTTGCATTCTATTTATTAACTAGCACCGTTTTGTCGCTCGCATATTTGTAAAAAGATTATTTCACGATTGGTTGTAAAAATATATACATATATCTTGCTTCAAAAGTCATGCGTGCTATTTATTGTTTTCATAATTTAATGCACTGCGTAATGATAATGAATTGTTTGTATTCTGTAACAATGTTTTGTAATTTATTGTAATAACAATATGACATTAAATACTCTCATTTCTTAACACTATTGGAATTAACATGTGGATTAATTGCACGGCATGTACAGTGTGTATAAAATTGCATAGGAATGTATAATAAATCAGATTTTATATTTGTATCATTAAAAAATTGTTGCAAAAGTTAAATATATTTGATGATAAATTGTTTCATAAAAAATTTTATAAAATTGGGCTTCAGTACTTATTGACACGATTGCAATTTTTTAACATCGTTTTCTTAAAAATTTACAAATCAAAATGTTGAAGAAAACTGCTAAACGAGGGTAATTAAAAACGTACAATATATAAGTACATATATTATACAAATTATTTATATAAGGAAACTTAATTGTACAAAGTTCTATTTTCCCATCAAATCACAATTCCACCAATTTTGTTTGTATCAAACCAAATATATGTATATTCGTTTTTGTTCTCCGTGATCGATGAAATGTTAAAAAATTAGGATAATTATTGAAAACGCGATGAAATGTTTACATATACGATTTAGTTTTTCCTGTTGACTAAAAATGAAGGATGTGATCCACGATCTCTTTGAGAGAAAATGCGATATCGATACCATTATTTCGGAATCCGCGCTTTTCACCGGCATTAAATTGAAAATCACGAGAGATCGCTCCAGGTAGCAAAGTGACAGTTAAAAGTAGATCAAAATAGATGTCATTATGTCATCTTTTAATGTCATTCTGCTGTTTGAAGCGCGTCTCTGGTGTACTTTCGCACGTTCGTTTGGACCTCGTGTCTGCAGGCGTGAATTCATGTCCGCGCCGTTTCGACGAACGCCTGCGCGAATTTCCTTCGGGAACCCACGTTCTCTGGTAGGGGTAGCGCGGGATTCAGGAGCGAAATTGCACGGTGGTTGAAAACGGCCGTCGTGTACCAGTCGTACGTAGACGGTCACGCGGTCACGAGCAGGCCCTCAATTCCATGTCGCCGTCTCCTGTCCTGTTTCTTCGATACGGGCTTCTTCTGATCATCGCCTTCGGGAATGGTGAGTGCTTGCAAAATCGTGTGATATTCATTCATCTATTATTCGCATAAGGTAGCCACGAATTCACGACTGGAATCGTTCCTTTTCTTTTTGTTTAACAATTATTTTAACATTGAGACATTAACAGTCGCAAATCAACATAGCGAAAATTGAAAAGTTCTCGCGAATATAAGGATTTAAGATTTAAAATTGATAAATAACAAGATTTTGTTCTCTGATCAATTTTCAAGTGTTTAAAATAAAACAGAAATATATGAACAATAGTAATTGGAAATAGACCGCGTAAGTGAATATCATAAATAAATTTGAGAGCGTTTTCTGCGGTTACGACTAAATCTTGGTGCTTAATAATATTTCTGTATAAATTTTTTATTCAGCCACATTTAAATTGCGCGCCGAATCAATGCCGGACTTGCAATGTAATCATTAACTGAAAAATAAGAATAATTTTTTTAATAATAAAACACTTTTGCAAATGTATTTCATTTTTTTTATTTAAAAACTTCAGTAAAATTTCTATAATAACAATAATGATAACAATAATGTATTGAATAATGTATACAATAATGTATTTTAATTTAAAAATATAAAAGAGCTAATCATTTTATTTTTAATTATTGTTATTAGATCGTGTTCAAATTTAAAATAAACTTGGGATTAAGATGAACTGTATTTACGTGTAATAATATTTTTAATTGTTTACAAAATTAAAGTTAAAGTACAAAGTATTCTCGCGAAACAAGTCTAAGCTAGAAGTTTAACTGCTCCGCGAAAACTTTTGTAATAAATCTTTATAAAGTCTATAGTTGCAGTAAAAAATTCTTTTGCGGGCTTAATACTGAGCTCGTAATGCTTCGATCGGAATTTCATTGTACATATATAGCGCATAAGGGAGGAATGATTATCTTGTTTCCGAGAATCGATTTATTGATATTTATAATTTTTTAGATGTTCTCTGAAACGCGATTAAGTTTTCCTATAATGCTCAATCAGCTCAATAATCTCGCGAGCCGAGAAAGATGTAGGCCGTCATCAATAAAGTTCCAAGGTTCGCGCCTCGGTACCGAAGTGCGGCGCGTTTAGGAATTGTTTAGATATTGTTGGACGTCACAAAGCTCGTCATAGCTCTCGCCTGCCGGGGCTACACAACCGCTGATATCAAAGACGTCTGAGATGTAAATTAGCGACGCGATCAAATCCCCAAGGCTGAAACGTCAACAGATTGCCATTTTTAGGAAGGGCGTCCTCGACACGGGACAACGCGAACAATTCGCGATTTTTATTACACCTCCCGACCGTGAAATTTTCAAGGATTTGCCCTTGGCAGTTCGACGATCTACGTCCCCGTGTGTGTATTAAAAGTCATCGCAGGATTTCCCTTAAAGATAACGTGCTCGATCAGAGAGATCAGCAGAGTCAATTTAATGGACGGGTGAATGAACACTTATCACGAATCCTCGATCGCACAAATTTTAAATTCATCGTGGCTCGGAATAGAAAATTCTATTCGCGACAGCGCGAAAGTCAATTGCGAGAACGCAGCCGAATGCATGTATTCAAGTAGAATCCCTCAAGTAGTGAGTTTATTTTTATCGGTATAATTTGCGCCAGACGTAAGAGAAAGATTCGCGGAACTTTTAATGCTGAATGTAACTTCTAGCGACACAAGAATAATTGCTTTTCGATTGAAGTTACATCGAGATACAATGAACGACATTCGTCATTCTTTTAAACTTGATCCGCTTTATTTTAATTTTATTTTAATTTCCTTTCTAATCTATTGCTTTTATATTCTAAAAATCGTTTAAAAAATTATCTTTTTCGTTAGTTTTGGGTTAAATTGATTTGCATGTGTAATGTGCTAATTATATTTATAATTAATCTAATTTATAATGATAATAGCCCATAATATATGTGATTTAATTTAATTCATTTTAATGCGCGAAATTTGGTTTAATGAACGGGTTCAATTGCCGAGGACAGATAACGAGACGTGTATGGGATTCGCGCCAAAGGTTTCACGTGGCCGCGCGATGTAGCTTTCGATCTTAACCGGTCCTCGTTACGGTATGTTTGCGTCGCAGCTGGTAGTGTAAACATTTGCAAATCAATCGCGTCAAGGGGCTATTTGACGCCTCCTCCGTGCCACTGAATTCGGTGATCGGGACACCGAACGGAATTTGCATATTCGTCGGAATCGAGGCCTGTGCATGCATCTAGCAAATCGGTCTACCGAAAAGCGGCCCCGGCCGAACACCGGCGATTATTTCCTCGTCTCATTTACAAGTTTTATCAATTTATCCACGCTGGTGCACGCGATTGACCGTGTGCAAAAAGGTAGAACGTTTTTATGGAATACAGTAAAATCGATACAGTAAAAAAGGTTCCGACCGATTGAGGAAATATTATTACTGTGTGGCAGCGGCTGGGATATCTTATTAAATTTATACTAATTATTTAATTTATATACGCAATATTCAATCAAATTTAGCAAATGAATATATCACGTAATTACGTATCGGATGCTAGATTAGAAAAATAAATCTCTTTCGACAAATTCGTTCATATATGTTTTTCCGCCGATTATTGTTTTGTGATGCTGCACTATTGAAATTTTACTCTTGCTTCAAGTGTTCGGATAATCGAACATCTTCATATCATACGGGGGAGGTAATCTCCAGACAGAGACGAACATTTTCACGCGGTGAACCGTTCTGCCCGAAGAAATTCGATGTCAGTCGGTCGAGATCCCGCGAGATATTCCGCGGCTCATACAGTATCGACATCTGATATACGATCTCATTACAAATCTGTGAGATTTTTCAATTCACGTTCCCGGCAATGATGGTATGATGGGCCGATATTTTTCGATTCGCGTGAATCTTTCGGAATCATTTTTCCACTCGAGGATAAAAGATTCACTGCATGCGAATTACATGCGAGAATCATGAACGAGACGTTAAACATTATATTATTTATTAAATATAAATATTTTATTAAAATTATTCACAATTATTTAACAATAAAGAAAGCAGAACTAATTGTAAGTTTTAATCGTATAACTGCATCTATCATTTTACTCCTTTACTAATTGTAAGAAATAAATTATTAAATCGTACTATATGCGACGTAATCGTGAATTTTTTTCTGAGAACAGAATACCCTTATAAATTGATAAAAAGATTTATTACTGAGAAATATAGTGCTGCAAACACGTAATATCTCGTGTATCAGCAAAACTGCCGATAATTTTACTTTAGCGTCGTTCAAACGTCGTTAAAAAGACGGCTCTCGTCGTCGTTTGACGGTACAGCTTTTACAGTTCGATAAGACCGTAAGGACTCACTCTTCTAATTACGAGCGGTATTCTCGCGACGAGTATCACTTATCTTCCTCGCAGTATCTTCCTGCCTTCCTTACTTTCCGGGCTCGGAGATTAGCTCGGTCCTCTGACAGGTTTCACCACGCTTCACGGCACAATGGTCGCTTCAATGGCGAGGTGGACTGACGTTACTGATCATGTAGCCGATCGCTATAATGGACGAACATCCACGTAACGAAACGGATCAGAGCCGTAATTCTCAAAGAGAGGGGCCCGGCGAGAGGAATCTCTCGAGTCGTTTTTGCGGGGTCGTTTCCCAGGATTTTGCGTCGCTTACTCGCGTTCGGCCTCGCGCCATCCTCTACTCTGCAGACAATGAGTGATTTTTCGCCATCGCGTTTTATTTCTTCGGATGTCACTTGCGTCGCGATTAGACGGTGAAGTGATTCTTTATGCCGATATTTCTTTCCGCGTGATATTAAATTGAGAAAAAGAGAAATGCAATTCGAAATTTTTAATAATTTTATTAACATACGATATTAGATCGCTTTGTCGCAATTATTCACATTGTATTCACAATTTGCTGAATTCGCGATTCGATTTAGAAATACTTAAATTATAAATTTTATTTACATTATAGAGTTGCTTACTTTAAATTATTAACAGTATCCAATGATGAAAACGATTGTTAAAAAAGAGAGAAATATATTGAAAGTTCTCTAGCGGAATAAACTGAAGGGCATTGTTTCAATATTCACGAGTAATCTCAATATATCTTGCAATAACGAAATTGGTTAAATTGAATATAGAAGGTTATAGTTAAACATATGAAATTTCTATAGTCCCAGTCGAATAAACTGAAGGGCATTGTTTTAATATTCACGAGCAAGCTCAATATATCTTGCAATAACGAAATTGGTTAAGTTGAATATAGAAGGCTACATAGTTAAACATATGAAATTTCTATAGTCCCAGTCAAAGATTTATACAGAAAATACTTGACCTAATTTATTTCTTTATAAAATAAAAATATTTCTATAATACAAGAGATTCTATTTCAATAAATTTATGAAGATATATGTATATACCTAGATAAATTTATCAACTTTGTTCCTTTGTTTTATTTGTTAACTTTATTTCTAGCCAAATCAATCGATGTAATTATCTTTGTCTTAAGAGATATAAAAGTTTGGCCACATATATTTTTAAAGGTCTTAGCTTAAGTAAGAATTTAATAAAGCGAATTAATTTAAAAAATTAATTGAATTATCGGTTCAGGTATTTGTGACGAACACGAATACAGACTGACGAAGCACTTGCTGGAAGGATATGACGCCGGTGTGAGGCCAGCTAAAAATTCGTCCCAACCTCTGGTCGTGGTTTTTGGGCTGTCTCTTCATCATATTATCGACGTCGTGAGTATTTGAGCGTAAATAATTTTAAAAATTAATTTCCGACATGAGAGAGCTCAATTGCCCCGCTCGTTTTTTAACATTCTCTTAGAATTTAGATACCTAATTTAGATCTTGCTAATTTAGAAAAAAGTGTTATAATCAATTTATCAAGTTATAATATAATATACGTATAATTTTCTTGCGTTCTATTTTTTGACAAAAATTATACATTTTAAAATTATAAATTTGGTGAAAAATTTTTTGCACAACTTATACACAATTTTATTACTTATTAAAATTTATGTATTTTTGTAAATTGAAAAATTAAGAACTTTTTTTAAAATTTAATGTTCTTATCTGTGAATTGTGTAAAAAGTTTTTGCTTCAAACTTCGAACGATATTCAAATTTTATTGAATTAGCTACACAAAATGGATATAATATTTCATAGAACATGCATTCATATTTTCCTCAACAGAGTATTAACGACGATTGTAAAATAGAAATATCAGCAGAAATTCCCACATATTTCTCGAAATCCTTGAAGTTCAGCAACGATAAAAAATGTACTAAAGAAACTGTACTGTACGAAACTTGGCTGTAGGAAATCCTTCGCTAAAGGCGAGGCCAAGCATGGGATTTCTTCAAAAATATTTTCGTATTCTTTCGTTTTCACTGCCGAGATTGCACATACATTCATGAAATCCCGCGGAGACAGTACATTGTTGTGATTTTTCTCTCATTAACATAATAAAAATAAATATGTGAGTATTTCTCGTATAGTATAAACAAGATAACGATGTGACGTAATCAATCGGAAAAAGATGCGTTTTCTCTCGTGGAACATAAAATAATATAAATGCAAGAGAGAAAATATGAAAGCACGTGATTGTTCAATTTTTAACGATACTTGCATATACGTCTATGAATTTTTTTTGCTATTGATTTTTACCAGCGCTTTGGTTATTCAAACGAAATTCTCAGTAAACGGATTTGATCTTTAATAAAATAAATTCTTGTGCTCGCTCTGCTGAAAAAAAGTCTACCGAAAAAATGGTAGAAATAACATTTGAAGTTACTGTGCGCAAAGAATAAACAATTTTTCTTTGAAGAATCGTAAAATGGATATAATAACATTATATAATAATATTCACCGCTTTCTCGTGTCGAGCATGGCAGTACATAATTACATATATTTAATCCATATAAAAATTGCTAAATTAATAGCTGTTCGAATTTTATCAATTTCGTATAAATTTCCCCTCATCCGATTTATCTTTATCATCAATCTCGCGAGATTTTCGAGTCTTCCCCCCGGATTTGTCTCGGAGAGGACAGGGTAGAATTGAGAAAAATGCGTAACGAAAATGGAAACACCGCGACCGTGACGGGATCCCCGGTGGTAATCGTAGATACGCGAGATAAATTGGCGTGAGAATAAGTGAAGGCGGTGGGAAAGTTTCAGGCATTTGTTTCGCGTATGGCGGTAACGAGAGCAACCTTTAACGCAACGTAGCCGCGACCGGTCACCCCCCGGGAGGCCTGAGACCGTCTAACGAGAGCTCGTTACATCTATCGCGCAATATACGGCCGATCAGCCGGCTCTCCTTCCCGTTTCTCTTTCCGTTTGATAATATTGATAACGTAATATCACGCGGATAACGTAATATCTCTCCATCGAGTCTTGTTAACCGAATCTCTATTGAAAACCTTTCGAGACGCTGCTCGTAGAACAGACAATGAGATAATTGAATAATAACGGAAAGGACACTTTGCGCGAATCCCATTTTTTTCACTCGGAAAGATTTACCGTTAAATTAAGTGTATATAGGATTTTTATTATCAGTTGTACATTTGTAAAGCAAAGAAAAAAATCATACAAAAAGCAACTTTATAAATTGCACATTATAAATTGTTCGAATAATGATTATTCATTGAGCTGCAATTACTAATTTATCTGACGTTATTCGAGGACTATAAATTTTATATGAACAGATGCAACTTTGGATTCGCGGCTGTTTATCAAACAATCAACTACAAATTCCTATCGTTTAAATTCTCAGCATACCTAAATCCTACAATTGAAATATTGCACATAGTCTCACGATCTTCGTTATATCATGCGCTATTGGATTACACATTCCGTTGATTTTAGTATCTGATCTCGAGATGATACACGAAGATAAATGTCAAGCATCAAGTGATATAGTAATACGGCGCCTTCGCGAAGACTATTATTCGTACATATTCATCTTCTTTTACTACCACAAAAATGTAACTACTCGAGTAAGGTAAAAATTCACTGAATTATCTATAAAGAAATTACTAAATAATGCTCTTTTCTTTTGTTAATGGAAGGAGAAACATTAAAACAGGCTCTCTAAATCAGCGAATGATTATTTAATTTAAAAGTCTGTAATAATTAAAGATATTAAATATATTATCTCTTTTCATTTTCAAAGGGAAATAAAAAAGTTATAACAATATTTCAGGTGTGATAATTATATAATTAAAGATTATTACGTGTAACGGTTGATGTATAACGAGTGTAGTTTCGATGATAATTTAACGGAGCAGCTGTTTTAACGAGCGATTTAGAAATATAATAATGTATTGTAACATTATTAACGCTACTTTAATTATCTCGAATTAAAGGAATCCGATCTTGGGATGTCAAGCGCAGGCCTCTCAAAAGTTCGCAAGGTAGTTAGAGAGAGAGTCGGATAAAGGACTTCGGCAACAACGTCGGAAAATCTTTGAATATTTATGTTCTACGTACATAAAATAACGAGATCCAATTATAAAGATTTCTTGCGTCGATCGGACGTCAATCTCCGTCGAGATAACGTTCACCGCGGAATTCGTATATAGGGTTCCGGGTTTCGCACGATTACGGTGGCCAATTAAATGCCACGGGACTGCTTCGTATACTTTGCAATTGGCGTTAATTAAACCACGTTAGCGTGGTTAAGTCTTGTGGCAAGTCTATCAGCAAAAGTAAGAAAAGAATCTGCGGACAAAAGTAACGTTTGACGTTTCGTTTTCCTCGGAGCGGAAAAAGATATATTGGATTAATATTTTTGTTGAATGAACGAATTGAAGCGTATATTTCCTTGAAATGTCTACCCAACGGTTAACAGTTTAATTCAACGAATCTGAAATAATCTGAACTAGTTTATTTTGAAAATAAAAAAGTCTATGTAGAACTTCAGCATGAGGTAAACAAGTTTTGCGACTTTGCACATTTTTTTGCTTATTCTTATTTATTTTTCTAGTGCATTTAAGATTCTCGAAATTTTCAATAAGACTAATTGATTCAAAATATTTTATCTAATTTCTAATTTATTTGTAGTTACTTTTATATATTTGAGAATAAAACATTGATTATTAAAATTGATTGCGAGGATAATAGTACTACACGATGTGGTTTTGAAACTGTTTCGGATTTTGTGAGAAATGGAAATCATTTTTTTTATAACTAGAAAGATATATTGCCTGTTGTTTGTCGACTGTATCGTCGACAATTCGTTTCGTTGATATACCTATATGAAGTCCAATTAATCACACAGGTCAGTTTCAACGATTTCCTTTTAGAGAATCTTTTTAAGCGTGACAAATTAAATATTTCCACGATAAATTAGTTACAAATTACAAAATTATTTACGCTTATATTATATTATTATTTACACTTATATTATTATTACATTATTTTATTATATTATAATTACATATAATTACTTCTGGGAGGATCGTTCGTTACAGAATAATGCTACGGATTAAGTAAATAAATGTCTAGTTCGTTTTTGCGAAATAAATTGTGTCTCGCGAAAAGATCTCATAAATGAGTAAGAAAAGCGCATTATCGGAAAACTAAATTAAATTTCGTGTTAAAGCAAACTAATAAACACTTTAATTCGCGCGGCATTTATATTTCATAAATTAAAGAATTTATATTACAGTTCTACTAAGATCGTTTCGCTTTACATTCATTTACGTCTCACGATTCACATTATTTATTTCAGGATGAAAAGAACCAGATACTCACGACCAACTGTTGGGTTACGCAGGTTTGGACCGATCATCATTTGAAATGGAATGCCTCGGAATTCGCTGGAATTCGAGTGATCCGCGTACCCTACCATCGTGTCTGGCGACCTGACACGATTTTGTATAACAAGTGAGCACTCGTCTCTCTAATCGGGGAACGATGAATGAGCTTTGCAACGCTATTACAATTTGTATACCGCAAAGAGGTCAAAGTTTATGTACCTATATTCAGCCCCGCGAATATTAAAAAAAATTCCACAAATTGAGACAATGATTTATACGTTCTCCTGAGATCTCTGCTCTCGTCTCGATCCTGCTATTCTTTCGAAACTTCTTTCGATCCCTTACGGAATTCTTTGCGGCGGTATGTATAAAGTAGAGACTAAAAAGGGGAGATGAATCAAAATAAGCTTCGAGTATTTTTGGAAAGTAATAATTTTCAGGGGCAGATAAAATATAAAAATTAAAAAAATAAAGACACACAAGAGGCAAAAAATAATTTAGGATAAATTTGACAGTATTACTTACACGATGAAATATAATTTTCCGTATAATATAGTGTCTTAAATAGAGAGGCACGGAGTTTTAAATAAAGCTGATCGGAATAAAAAAAAAAAGGAATTTATATATCTCGTTGCGGTTTTAATTTTCTGGTTACAGTGCGGACCCACAATATAGTTCAGCGGTCATCAATACAAACGTGATCGTCAGTCACACGGGCGAGGTGGTCTGGCTAAGCCACGGTATCTTTCGCAGCAGCTGCGACATAAATGTAGAGTTCTTTCCCTTTGACGAGCAACGATGCGCCCTCAAATGGGCCTCCTGGACGTACGACGGGTACCAAGTAAGTTTCACATTCTACGGGTTTTTGCATTCTACATCTCGTGTATTTGGATCCTCATTCGTTCGAATGCAAATTATCAAAAAGTTTCACATTTTTGCATAATTGAATATCTGATTTTTAATAGAATAGGTCACGCTGCGCCGCGTATCAAAATTTTTCTCGTAAAAAGGTGACATTCGAAGTTCCTTCGGAACAAATTATTCAATGATGTAAATTGTGAAAATTTGCAAAATTTGCATTGCGCGCAAATATATCTGTCGCAATCAAGGATTTTGAATCTTGAGAATTTGTATAACGCGTTTAAGATTATATTTATAATCGTTGCGTGAATCTCGCGTCAAAATGCACATCAGGAGAAAATTTAGAGATAACATTTGAAATTAAGTTTCATATCTGGAAACAATGGTAGTTCATAGTCACATTTTAAATATTATGTTGATCACACGCGTCGCGCGTACTTTACTATTACATATATTGCAATTGGAAATACGACACGAAAAAGTTGTGCACGAAGTTACGATTTATTTCTCACTCGCGACGCTTCGCATAATTAATGCAACGGACGATAATGGCTAATTATATTCGTAAAAAATAATTGCGTTTCGATAATGTGATGTTATATGGAGCAGCTCGTGCCGGTACCTACTGCTCGCTCGCGTCTCGCGGCGCGAGAATAACAATATAACGCTCAGCGACTTCGCTGACAGTAACAAAGGCTGCATGTCTTGCCGCACAAAATGCAACGTTTTTAATCTCGCGAGCTAATAATCGTGCTGCAATAACTATGAGATACTATGGCATTTCAAGAGATAATACGATGATACACCGAGCGGTTTGTGCCGCGTTGCTTGTTTGCTCAAGTGGCTCTCCGGTCTTGTGTGCGTATATAATGTGCGCTATGTGTCACAAAAACAAATCCCAAAGTCATGCGCCGGGCAGTTGTAAAATATTTTACATATTATGAAATATGTATATGCGCCGAACGTTTTTTATTTCAATTGCATTTAAAATTAATTTCGCTAAATGACTTTATTGCACATTTTGCATTCCGTAGACTAATTGGGATCACCTGAGATAATAATTAAAATTCTCTTTAGATGAGAAAAACATTTTGAAGAGAAAATATTACTTGAATTCTAATCGAGAGAAAAAAAAAATATATTTATGGACAGATTTAAGATAAATTTTTACGTGAAAACAATTAAAAGATGATTTTACGTGATTAATCGTTCTTTTTTCAAGTTACTTCTAAAAAAAATGTATACAAAAACTATTAATATTATAAAGTACAAATCATCTCTTAAGAATCGCGAATCTTTCAAGAGTCGTATTATCTTTTATTGAATCGCGAAAAACAAAACTCAGGCTATGCCTCAAAACATATTTCATATGAGTTTCTCGGTTGAGCAAATTCGCGATTGTGCAAATTCGACGTAACGGATTTCAAATCGATTCTGAAGCCCTATTTATTAAACCGTACGGTTTCAAGAGATTGATTTCTGCTGAGTTGTCGGTCGAAAGATGTTGATATTACTTAAAATAAATATTATATATTTGAGTGTTGTACGATAATCCGAGTGATTCATTTCCGAGTGATTCGAGTGTTTCATTTGATAGCCAATTTTTTCCCTTAGTTTCCGTGAATTAAACTTTAGAACCGTTTAAAAATACGGGAGGGCGATTATCGGGTCGGCGCGGCGCGCGACTGTTCATCTTGCAGATTTCCTTTTAAATCGAATTAATTTCTGCGTTCAGCCATTCGTAATTTTTCGCGGTATTATATTCACCTTCATTTAAGACCGCGGAATATTTTATGGTTTCGGTAGATATCATTCAGCGAGCTGCCGTATCGATTATCCGATGACTAAGATATCGGTATATATTATATAGTTCATGCGAAATGCGAAACCGTATCGATTAGAACGATAAAGATAAAGGCGTTTGATGTGCAGATTAAAGCTTACATTTAGATACATCCTTTAGACACATTAAATTATTGTAACAATCGAACGTTCGTTTCTTTTTAGCGTTTCGTTTTAGCTAGATAGCTAATTTTTTTTTCGGTATTACACGGGGGATACGTATAGCAAAAAAAGTATTTCGGCGCAGGAATGAATTGTGCGTGCGAATGAACGAAGGGAGAAAAAAAAATGTACAGCTGTTCGCGAAGCGAAGCCGATCGGCCTTTTGGAAGTTCGGGGGACGTACGCTTAACACAGCTGCACAGGAATCGAAAACGCCGACCCGTCAAAGTCGTGAAAATGGTTCGGGCAGATCGAAGAGCTTAATCCCAGCGTCACGAGAAGAATTCAATACGAGATCCGTTCGGTTCGCCTCCGCTATCGGGGCTGCACCCTAGCTGTCTATCTTTCGCGTGGAGTTTTTCCATTTTCTATCTCTCCGCGTTGAATACACTTTGCGTGCCGCCGCCGTCGCCATTTCCCCCTCGTCGTGTAAAGGACGTCATCGCGGTTTAAAATACTTGTCCGGGAGAATCTTTCGAAGTTCTTCGCGCATTAATCATTTTCTCGTGTTTCGTGCGGCAGTAGATTTTCAACGATGATCATTAATTTCCCAAGTAAAAACTCCGGCAAGAGCTTTCTCTTTATAATAAAAAAAAAATCGTAAACGAGTTCCAATTAGCAATTTTTATAGGTTTGTCGATCGTGTAAATAAATAAACGACGTGACACATTATTAATTGTTACAAAATCTATACGATAAAAAGGAAGTTACAATGAAAAATGAAACAAAAATTATTAAAACTCAATTAAATCTATTCGATTCGTATAATATTTAACCTCAATTTAAAATCCAATTTTTGTCTTTTATTTGCATGCGACGTTACGTACCGCCTCGATAAACGTCACGATTTGCCATTATTAATAAAACACGTATATCAGCTCAATAAAAAAAAGTTATTACGCGTTACACAAAACAGTCTCAATAGCGAAAGACATTCGACCTGTCAGTTGCCAGTTCAACTTTTAGTCGATAAACCGAACGAAGCTCTTGTTCGTTGGTTTCCGCTCATGTTTAGCGAAAGGATGCAACGTTCGATAAACAATAATGAAAAAACAAAAAAAGAAAACTGCTCTCGATTGAGATTTTTACTACCCGCAAATTCGCCGCGGCCTTTTACGGGGCAAAACCTGGCGGCGATTTGCGCCCCGCGCGTCGCGATGTCGCGTGATGTAACTTACATCGAGGAAATTTTGCGGGCACATCAGCTCGAGCTGGAGAGGCAGAGCGAGCAGGGGGACGTGAGCAATTATCAGGCGAACGGCGAGTTCCATCTCCTGGACTTTACCGCTCGCAGAAACGTCGAGTATTACTCCTGCTGCGAGGAACCGTATCCCGACATCACTTACGAGATCCGCTTACGACGACGTCCAATGTTCTACGTCTTCAACCTGATCCTGCCCTGCATACTAATCAACGGGGTCGGTAAGTGGAGTGCATAAATGCGCACAAGTGGCCGGAACGGAGCGGAATACCCTTAGTTAGCGATCCACGACAGGCTGACGTCCGCATGTCAAAGAGCGTAATAATTGTACTTCGGGGTTCTTAATTGCATTCGAAATACAGTTTACTATATAATTTCTGAATGCCTGATTTAAAAAGTTCTAATATTACAATTAATCGCGTCACATCTCTTTATATTTTATATAAAAAATATTTAGAAAAGGATTGACATAATAGTTGTATTATTAATTATTAGCAGCTGCATTCTAAAAATACGGAGAATTTTTTTTCTTGTAAACAATACAACGTGCTCATCCAAATATCGATCTTTATCGTCGCATATCATGTTCAGCGGAGAGAGAATAAATTAATCGATACATCGATCGCTTTTCCTTTAAGAATGTCTTCTTCTTACAGAAAAAGAGCGCATACGAAACTTTTTAAGATGCTCGGGTTTAATCTCGCGAGTGAACTTTCACAGATTGCGAATTAATGATATGCGGTAACGCGATGCAAATCTCGTGGTCCTCGTTTATTAATAAAGGAAGTAACAGGTCTTACCGTTAGTTACGAAGTAAATTTCATAAATAAACCTTGAGACTACGAAGCGGCAGACCGCATGAGAAGCCATATACGAGATTAGATAGGTTCTCTCTTTCGATCTTTCCGCACTCTCCGTATACGACCTGCTTGCATAAGAAAATTGAGATTGTCCCTACTAACACGAGACGCGAATCTAATGAATTTGCATAATAGTTTTCGTCCCGGAGGGCAAGAACGGCGTTTTAAGTTTTTATTAATAACTGTGCGAGCGATTAGATTACGTGTTAAAATTTATTGCTCGATAAGGAAGACAAGATCGTCGCTTTTATATATATGCATCTTTAGAAAAGATTTGGAATTTTAATAAAATTACACATACATATATATATATATAAATGACTCAAAGAATATTTTGGAAGCAAATTACTTAATAAGCTTAAAGTCAATCTATTTTTTACAAAGATATCTAATGGATTGATCGCTCGCCATAAATTTTCACGTTAAATATCTGTAATTATTATTTGAATTACAATTAATGTAAGATTATTCTCGTGTTTATTTGTTGATAATTTGAGAAAAAATTAAATAATTTTTCGCTTAATATTTTCTTGTTTTCTAAAATAATTATAATCATTCTATATGTAGTATATTATATTTTAACGCCATGTTAATATAGTAATAAAAAAAGAAAACTGCTTATTATGACGACTATAATGTAAGCAGCAAACAAAAAACCTAATTATTAAAATATTAAAGTAAAAGTGCCTTATACATTAATTCTTCGCAAAAGCATAGAAAAAACGATTGTCGAAGAATATTATGTAATTTTATGGAAAAGGGACGAGATTTCGAAAAATAATATCGGCCACTGGGTCTAATAATATCGTTAGGATTTGTACTGGGGGGGGGGGGAGGAAGAGAAAACAAATTAAGTCATCGTCTTTAAGGAAACGACGGCATAAACTGAAGCATTTCATTACATTTCTGCTGCCGATTTATCGATAATGAAAGAAATTTTCCGAGAAGTAGCTGGATACTCTTCTGGAATTTCTAGAACAGCAATTGCCTATCGATTAAAAAAACTTTTTTTAAAGTAGGGCATTATATAAAATTTAAGGAGTAAAAGTAGAATGTTATAAAAATTAAGATAGTAAAGAAATCAACGTACGAGGTGACGCATGCAGAAATAGATAGATAAAATGGCAAATATTTAAAATAACAGAGTATAAGACCCAGTGAAATGGTCGAGACTGTCGGATAAATGGGACAACGCAATGGCTTTCCGATGATAAAATTGATGGTTATTGAAGAACAGTTAAAAAATGACAACTATGAATTATTGGGAAATCTTTACGTGGTTTCGTTTGAGCAAGAATTTGTGAAATATTTCACACAATAGCAGATAGAATGCAGATAAAATAAATTTGTTTTCATTGCATTTGCACTAATATTCATTTAAATTTTTCTTGTAGGACTAAAATAAAAATTGCGGAAAATCGGTATTCTATAAAATATGAAATTATCGTATCAATCAATAACGAATTGAGAATTAATACGTTAAATATATGCATATTTGTGAAAATAAAAGATACGGAAAATTTAATAAAATTTAAATTTATCGGACTTTTGAGATAGAAAAGACCAAGACTGCTTTCGCCTCTTTTTTTTGGTCGTCTTTTCTGCAATTCTGTTCCATTGTCGATCACTATGAACTTTTGAATTTGTCACGAGACTTCGAATCGAAGTCTCGTGGAATACCTCGGATTCAATATTTCGTGGTAAGGGTGAAACTTTCGCGGACGCTGCTTCTGCAATGTTTGCTCTTCAGCCCTGCTGGTGTTCTACGTGCCCTCCGAGTCAGGGGAGAAAGTCACCCTCGGCATCTCGGCCCTTCTCTCCATGACGGTATTCCTGATGACCATTCGCGAAACTTTGCCGCCCACGGAGAAGACACCGCTGATAAGTGAGTATCTCGTTAGACGTTTCCGGTCGGATCTTTAATTCGAAATCAAAGAATATTTTTACACAGATATTTTCAAAATATTTATTAATCTTTTCTATGCTGTTATATTTGGTTGAATTATCGCAATTATCTCTTTGGGATCATATTTTCGAATTTCAAAGTTGCCCGATTTTTGTTCAATTTTAAACCATTCAACAGGATGTTATCGCGATTTCGGTTCAAGTATCACAGCTGCTCGTTACTCATTAAAAACCCTGCGGGAAAGTACATCTGGGATTTCCTTGAGACGCGGTTAACCGCCTCTGCAAGACTAAGCACCGTCTCATTTCTGCTAATGTAGTCTTCAAAGGGAGATCCCGAAGGAGCGTGCTCAAAGAACAGCGAGAAAATCGAGTAAAAAGAGTTCAGAATCGTTATCCAAGTGAAGAAAGAATTTTTGTTTAATGGTTAGACACGGTTTGGGCGAGAAAATATGACAGACAACTTTCTTAACAAAATACAACAATAAGTGCATCAATTCATATTCAGGCATCATTTGAATAAAATTCAAATAATAAAAACATTTTATACGATTCTCGTATTTATGTCCGACACATTTTAAGAGAGATGAATATTTTATATTGTATGTAAATTCTTACTTAAACTGTTTCTTTTTGCATCCATTAAAAATTCAAAAGAAATAAATTCAATTATCTTTTCGATCTGTACCTCTTCTCTTGATGCTTCCAGGTCTCTACTATGGCGTCAGCATTTGTCTGGTGTCGTTCGCATCCGGTCTGGCGGTCGTGACATTGAATCTGCATCACCGTGGTGTGCGGGGCATCCGCGTACCGAGGATCGTGAGATCGCTGGTCTTAGACAAATTAGCCAGGATAGTATTTCTGAATTTCCAAGAGGAGAATAGATCGGTAAAACGGATGCACGTAATGCACATGCATATTTTGTTCCTTGTAACACGCGGGATATTTTGCGAATCGCCATATAAAAAGCTATTAAGTTATAATAATAAAATATAATAAAATTGGTCGAATATTCCGTTGCGCATTTCTCGGAATCAGATCGGTCAGATATAAATAATTCTGAGAGTCGTACAGCTTCCGGCGGAATAATAGCGTAAACAGGATCGGCCTCAGGCGTTCGTTTCAGCATACATAAATAAAAATATAACGGGGGATAGTATCTTCAATAATGCAAAAGAAATAAAACAATGGATTTATGGAAGAAAAAAACTGGAAAAGATATAAGATAGATTAAAAGACAAATATAAGTGAAAGAGAAAGAGAGAACATTTGAAATATAAATTAACGATGTGATGAAATAGATCTTAATTATTAATGCTCGACATAATTATGAAAAGTAGATCGAGAGAGATGCAAACTTCGTCTCCGGATATACGACGCATCTGTAACCGATCCTGAGCGCAAATGAAGAACGTATATTGCATCTCGCCGAGAGAAAGTTTCGCGGTTGATACAGTTTCTAAACGCGCGCCCGCTATTACTCCGTTCTATAGAAAAGTTACGGCGCGATCATCAATACGGGATCACAGCGATTTGTTATATCAGCAGGAGCCGGCGGAACAATTCCCGAGAAGAAAGAACAATTGTCCGCTGCACTGCAAGCCCGAACTGCCGGAGCAGCACGTATCCCCCAAATATGTATCGAGGAAAGACGATAGTAATAGCTCTAGTCCCAGTCTAGGTGAGTCTGTGACGGACAATTTCATTTATTCCTTTTTTTTTATTTTCCATGTTTTCACAAATTTGTGAACTCGAAAAATCACAAACGTCGCGAAGGCTGAAATAGTTAAAAAAAAAATCGCTTTTGCTCAATGTGTGATACTTAATTATAAATCGTTTTACTTTCATTCAAGCGATTCGATATATTTACTATATTTCTTGTTTCGAACATATCCCTTCGATCGTCTTCTAGGTAGGTTTTTTGTTTAGATCAGCCTGGTCTAGTTTCTTTAGCCAGCTGATTCGTGTCGCGCAATCAATGTATTAAATCGTGTCGAACGATCGCACAGATCTCGGAAAGGAAGGCGGCCTTGAGGCGCATTGGTCCCGGGTCCTGGGAAGAGTGCACGCGACCATCGAGAGGAACGAGCGCCGCCTGGTCGAGCAGGATCGCCGGGAAAGGACAGAGTTAGATTGGAAACAGGTCGCCCTGGTCAGTGATCGTGCCCTGTTGTGCGTTTTCTTGCTTACGACGATCGTCAGCACGGCGGTGATTTTATGCGGCTCGCCACCGACCCCGGATGCGTCCAAAGATGGGTAATCCTTGGACCACCGGTTCGACTGATCGTTCGATGGTCGGCGAACAATCCTCTTCGAGGATCATCGATGATATTTAATTCAGATAATTTTGTTCCACGTACTAGAAAAACATTACATTTAGCAGGCTCGTTTATGCGACGAATAAAAACGAATATTTTTCGTTAATACTTTTTGTTTTACGAACGAAACATGTTTTTTCTCGTGCAAAAAATAAGTGAATTTTGAGAAAAGAATAGAAACTTCTATTTCTGTTTGCTGGATATCAAAGGAAAGAAAGATTATTTCGAGACAAATTCAAAGTGTTCGCATATTTCTTGCACGAAATGAAGATGTATCGTGTAAATTAGACAGATATAACATGTGTAGGAAATGAAGTATTTATCTTATGAACAGGGGTAAATTTAGGGAATATAAAATCGTTGTTTATTAATCCTAGCAACAAATTATTTTGTTTTTTTATGAATAAATATATTGGCGGCCTTTTTGAGAGTTCACGTATCTCGAATTATAACTTAAATTCGCCCCTGCTCTCTCGACGTTTTTTTTTTACATCGAACAAACGAAAATAATTTCGAAGTAGCTAAAACTGTAAATATCGGCATCGAATTTGTCGCAAAAAACGTAAATCTAGCGACGTAGTAAATTCGTTAAAAACTCATTAGTACGTTAAAAATGTGTCGGTATTTATTGAAAAGTTAATTGAAATTGAAATGAAATATTAATATTTAGATTTAGAAGCGTTATTTATGGATGAGAATTCGTTATCTGTAATGAAACGATAAATGTGTCATCAATACTTAAACAGAATTGATAAGTATATAAGAGATAATGGGAATAAATAATGAAATATATTTTATTTATCTAATAACCGAAATCCCGCAATCACATTTTTAAGTTATATATAAAGTAATTATTATATGTAAATCGAACTTTCCTTATTTATATAAAAATACTTTTCTCTTTCGTGCATTTCGGAACATGTAAAAGCATAAGATATATTAGAATATATATATATATATATATATATATGAAAAAGCTCGATGATCTCGTTAATAATAATCAGGTACAGGTGCACAAGCTATTTTTACGAAATCTTCATATTTCACGTGCCCGTTCAGAGACACATTGGCCTCGCGGAAGATCTGCTCCACTGTAACAGCGTATATGCAAAATTCAAGAAGTTGCAATTTTAATTACTTATTCATCTTACCTTCCTTGCTACTCAATTGTTCTCCCCAGTGAAGCAACATGTGCGCCAATTGCCGGGCTGGAATAGTGCCATTGCGTGAAGCGTCCGCAGCCTGAAAAGCCTTGATCACTTCCTTCGGTAGATCCTCCGCACGAGTCTGCAGATGCATGATTTCCAAGAAATCGGCGAAGGACATCTTTCCACCTGGAATCAAAAGACATTTTCCGCTTCCCTCGTAAAGGGTCTCTCAGGCGAAAGTTGAAGAAGTGGAGCACCCCGTTACCTTTATCCTTCATATATTTATTTAATTCCGCAATGGTCGGACTCAGACCCAAGGATCTCATAATTATAGTGAGCTCGTCAAGCGTGCGAATCTGACCGCTTCGTGCGAACAGGTAGAAACACTCTCGGAACTCTGCGGAAGTGATAATTTCACATCAGTTTGCTTGATTTATTTCTAGCCGGCCGTGTAAATAAATAGCGGGTAATCCTGCAACGTACCGTCTATATCCTCTTCCCTGAAGTAACGCGCCTGCAACAATTACATACCGGATGAGACGCGAGAAGCAGAGAAATATGCATATTAAAAGTACGTAAGTCGGTTGTGCAAAAGAAAAAGCTGAACGGAAACCGCGCGTGAAACACGAAAGAAAGTAGATCAAGTCCCAGAATCGGGACTGTACGACGTTCTACATGGATTTCGAGATTGTCATAATTATAATATGTATTGGAATTACCATATGGTCGATTAGATTCACGGAGATCGCGTCTCTCCCTCGGCTGTCGGATTTTCACGGAATTTTGACACAACAGGTGTTTGACGCGTACGTAACCTCACCTGTTCTCGCGGCGTCGTCTTGGATTGTAGAGCGACAGCGACATCGGTCGTCAGAGGAATCTACTAGGGATCCTGGCCATCCTGGGTTAGGCAGCCCGATATACGCGCAACGGAAGGTTGATCGGTCAACGCTCCTGTCATCGGAATATATATATAATTTTAGGTGATATAATTTTTAACGAAAGTCCGCATAAACTCTCAAACGCGGAAACGATGATCTCCGATTGAAATCGAGGACTTTTGATTAAACGGAGAATTTAAGATTCTTTTGATAAAAAAAAGGGAAAATATTTGAAAATATTTTATCCAAAGGACGATTCAGGTATATCAGAGAAATATAATTACATATTGCGGTATCACGAGACTCTTTTCTCTCGTGCCTATCCTATAATTAATATCAGCTGTGTAAAGTTGACCTCCTTACTATTGAAAAAACACTAACGATTAAGTAGTTTGTAAATAACATTATACGCAAAAAAAGATATACGCGCGTGAAGTTAGCCCCTCCTTTCGCGAAATACGTCTTTCCAAACTGCGCAAAGTAAATATAATTAAAAGCATTCGTTTGATGGTTCATTCTCGATGATTGGTAGTCAAAATTATAAATAATAATATGAAAAAAAGATATATACGCGCGTGAACTTACAACTTTGACTACCAATCATCGGGAATGGACTATCTATATATATGTAAACCAAATAAATAAACAATCACCAAATCAATGCTAGTTATGATTACTTACGCAATCAGGAAAGCCATATTTTGCG